AGTAAAATTATTTGTCTTTATTGAATGGTCTCAATGTAAGCAACGTTGCTATAATGTGGATGTATCTACAAAGATTGCAACAGGCGGTATCCACGTGAAAATCTCATATAATTTCGATGTAGATATTTCCCTATCGAAAGAATGTGGAGATGTAGGGGGTGTATCTACATAGATAACGGCAGAAGGTGTCCACGTGGAAATCCTATTTTGTGTCTACGTAGACACTTCCCTTTTAGAACCACGTGGATATGCTGTGGATGAATGGTGGATAGATCCTCATCCACGTGGTCCACGAAGATTTGGTCGAATCCACGTGGATGGGACGTGCCGTTCCCATGGGGCGTCAAAGAACAGTCAAAAGTCCGCTCGGCGCCGTAAATGCTCAAGTCCAACGCGCCCCACCCGGTCAAAAGAATTAGAAATAAGGAGAGTACGCCCCTCACCCCGTTGTATGTGTTGGTCACACTGGCATGAATGACCACTTGTTGAATAATGGAGCATACCCTAACAAAGTGTATATAAGACCCCTGCAAATAACGATAAAGCCTCTCATCAGCTGAACTTGTGTCACTTCAGTTCCGTTCCAACTTCCCTCCTCAGCGAGTACCATTACACACCCCGCTGTCGGCGGCGACTTCTGTGATCGCTGGAGCAGCCGCGCTTCCAACATGCTTCCAACCACATGTGCTCATCAGAACAAACTCCCGGTTGTTGGACTTACAGGTGTCGCAAGGTGAGCAAGACTGAAACCCAGATTCCGAGCCGAGGCCTTACCTCCGAGGAGACTGTGATCTTTTACCCGCGACCCGAGGGGTACGCGGGTATCCAACCCCCACAACCCCGAGTGCCGAACCAAATCATCAGTATCAGCGACCCTACCACCAAAGCTACCAAGCCAACAACAAAATCAAATAACCGTCACACTTGAAATTGTTACCCTGGACCTGACCTGGGACGTCGGTTACACCACTCGTCCGGGTGCAGGGCCAGTGCGACCTTTCCCCAATAGCGCCAATGCACTCGAATGCCCATAAATAACCATTAAATTCAAGGCAATACATTTCACACGCAATTAACATTTATCATCCGCATTATGCGCATGAAATGCGCCTAAAAACTCTGAAGAAGGCGCGCGCTCAACAAAAGCACCTGCCTCTCCTCTCTCTCCGTCGAGCTCCTGGAGGAGCTGGCCGGCCAGCTGCACGTCGCCGTGCACGACGAGGCAGGACTTGTGGCGGGGTGCAAGCGAGGAGACGAAACTTGACACTCACCTGGCCTCGGCAGGACACTTTCTGACAGGGTGGACAGACACCACCTGCAACCGCCTCAGCGCCAAGGAGGCCGGGGAGGCGGTGCAGACCACGTACCAGCCTCATTGCGTCAGTACTGGTGACCACGGAGGTGGCCTTCTAGCCTGCGGGCGGACTCTAGTCGACTCTGCGTTCTCCGAGGTGACGCCCGTTCTTTTGCCCGCGCTCAAGCTCAACCCCCTCACTTGCGAGCCGCTGGGCGGGCCGCCGTCCTCGCACAGCTGCTCGGCGGGCCGGCCTACCCGGCGCTCAACAGGCGCTACCAATCGCGTCACCCCGAGAGAGGCTTCATTGTGTGCTCGTCGCCACTCGATAAATACTCTCCATAAATAACTCGGTGAATAGTCAAGGAGCTGTCGGCTAAAGGGGCCACCCAAGGGGAGAGGTGCGGGGGGAGGCGTTTGCGAGGACGGCTGGACTGTGCAAAGGAAGGCAAAACGACGCGCGAGACGATGTCGTTATTCGAAATTGTTGACTGGTTGTGCCGCATTTAGACCACACTGGAAACGTAAGTGTGTGAATGTCGCACATTTGTAGGGGTGCGTTAGTCGCGTTAGTGCCTCTTCAAACGCTCAAGCAGGGAGTAAAGGTGTGTATGTGTACACACTTTATAAATGTTCCTCTGCAATTCACACACTTGTGGCTATGTGTACGAATGTCATGCACACACCTTCAAGTGAGCGACATGCACTCACTTCTCACTTGGATTTCTTGTGTAACATCCCGAGCGTGCCGACTATAGGTAACATCTTTACACGCATGCCTAGTTGGCAGGCGTGTTTTGCACGGGAAACGTGTGGGCAATGCGGAAAAGCCGCTCTCTTTTTCAGGAGAATGCACGCGTTCGCCCGCCTCGAGGTGTTGAGTGTCGCAATCGCAAGGTTCATTGCACGTGGTTCATGAACGTGATGGTCTATCACGGGTCGGAAAAACCATTTACCGAGAGGTCGGTCGCAAGGGTGAGCGTCACGATATCGTGACACCATCACTAACGAAAGCGCTTTCGTTTCCTATAAAAGAGTGCAGGGCCATTCCAAAAGCACGAGCACCTTCACCATGAAACCAATCATCGCGCTGTTGTTTGCTGTCGTCGCTCTCTGCCTGGTGGTGAGTTGCTCACCCAGAAAAATGGAAAGTTGTAGCAATCATAGTACAGTTACTTCAGGGACAACCATAATACAGTTAAGAAATTAACTATCAAAAAGTGGCCACAACCCGCCACAACCATATTTTAGTCCTCTCAACCACTTTAACGATACCATCACTTTCTGATTGTCCCTGAAATAACCATACGATGGTTGCAACAACTTTCCATTTTTCTGGGTGTGACAAAGAAAACACGCCCGATTGGTGTTTGTCTCTTCTCTTCAAGGCTGACAGAGTCACTCAAACCCAACATGAATCTGCAGAGCCAAAACTGCGACCATTTTTTAGCCCGTCCTTCTGCTTTTTAAAAAGCATTAAAGCGTGCTTATGCAACCGCTCTCGTGTCCGTCCGTCCGTCCGTCGTGCGTGTAAGAGGAAGGAGATGAGCTAGAGGTCTGAAAATTTCAGGTTATCTTAAGGTCCACTCCCTGAAAACGAAATGCCTACGGCAAATCCTGTCACCACCCCTAAGGGGTTGAAAAGGGGTGACAAAGAAACAGGGGTACCCGGGTACACCCGGTGGAACCGCGCCTGCAAATAGGCAATTTGTCATGCTCGTATGTCAAATTGCCTAGCTATAGGCGTGGGACAGCCGGGTAATTCGCTGAGTACCCGCGAAAACCCGTCTACCCGGGAAAACCCGTCGACACGGTTCCTACCCGGGTACCCGGGTAAGCGTGTTTTCCGAGGACCCGAGTACAAATAAGAGCCCTACCGCCGACAGGCCAAGCTAGGCCTGGCCCCCGCCGAACGAAGTTGCCTGCGGAGCGTAGTGTCCGTAAAGAAAATTATAACGAGGGTACTAACCGAGGCATAGAAAAATCGAAGGCCCGCTACATTATTTGATAATGTTCTTCCGTAAATCGCGTGACTGAAATGGTCGGGCCGCAGGCCCGACCATCGCCGCCGGCAGGCCAAGCAGGCCCGACCCCTGCCGAACGGAGTTGCCGGCGGAGCGAAGCTGGCAACTTCGTTTGGCGGAAGGGCGGGCCTGCTTGTTTTCCCAGCTATAGGAGCTTTAAAGTTTGTCAACAAATACTTGGTATTGTGTGCATTACTTACAGTTTACAACTGTACAACTAACACGACGGCCCTGTTTGTTTCAGGGAGAGGCGTTATCAAAACCCTGTTGCAGGAAACCCGCCGTGAACTCGCCCCCATCTAGCCCCAAAAGAATCAGTAGCGGTAGCAGCGGCACCGGCAGCCCAAAGACGGGCATTCCAAAGTGGCTCGAGAAAGGCAGCAGCAGCGGCAGCAAGCCTGATATGAGTCGCCTGAGAGGGTACCTCCCGCCCACCAAGGAACTTCGGCCCGGACAGCACACCAAGTAACTCTGTACGACGGAAAGAACGCAATATAAAAACTCTGTGTGACGACATATTCTGTGTATAGGTGAATGTGAGTGAATCAGAAAGA